CAACCAAGTACTTATACCTCTAAATACAACCAAGTACTTATACCTCTAAATACAGCCAAGTACTTATACCTCTAAACACAAACATGTACTTATACCTCTAAATACAGCCAAGTACTTATACCTCTAAACACAACCAAGTACTTATACCTCTAAATACACCCAAGTACTTATACCTCTAAATACAGCCAAGTACTTATACCTCTAAACACAAACATGTACTTATACCTCTAAACACAACCAAGTACTTATACCTCTAAATACAACCAAGTACTTATACCTCTAAACACAACCAAGTACTTATACCTCTAAACACAACCAAGTACTTATACCTAAACATAACCAAGTACTTATACCTCTAAACACAACCAAGTACTTATACCTCTAAACACAACCAAGTACTTATACCTAAACATAACCAAGTACTTATACCTCTAAACATAACCATGTACTTATACCTCTAAATACAACCAAGTACTTATACCTCTAAACACAACCATGTACTTATACCTCTAAATACAACCAAGTACTTATACCTCTAAACACAACCAAGTACTTATACCTCTAAACACAACCAAGTACTTATACCTAAACATAACCAAGTACTTATACCTAAACATAACCAAGTACTTATACCTCTAAACACAACCAAGTACTTATACCTCTAAACACAACCAAGTACTTATACCTAAACATAACCAAGTACTTATACCTCTAAATACAACCAAGTACTTATACCTCTAAATACAACCAAGTACTTATACCTCTAAATACAACCAAGTACTTATACCTCTAAACACAAACATGTACTTATACCTCTAAACACAACCAAGTACTTATACCTCTAAATACAACCAAGTACTTATACCTCTAAATACAACCAAGTACTTATACCTAAACATAACCAAGTACTTATACCTCTAAACATAAGTACTTTTGAAGAATTGTTGTTTTGTTTACTTTAACTTTACGTTAACCTCGTGTTTCAAACTGTTGTAACTTTGACTGTAATCTGGTAGAAAACACGTCTCCCTACAGACTACTAGGATAAGATGGTAGTGTATGTGTGTGTGTGTGTGTGTGTGTATTTTTATATGTGTATGTGTGTGTATTTGTATGCAACTAAGCCCCGCCCCCAGATAACCACACGCCTCAGACTCATATCTCGGCTCAACATCTCTGAACATCGTCAGCTGTGGTTTGTGTGTTCGTCTCCTCTCTGCAGGGATCTGAGGAGCCACCTGTTTACTGTGGTTCTGGATCCTGGTGGGTTCAGCTCGCTGTAGAAGTACACACAATGTACACAAATACTTGTACTTGTGGAGGAGGGCTGGTTTAGATCCTGATGTTTTCTCCTTGTAAACATGATGTCATCATATTAAATATGTCTACACACAATATTACTATTATTGGTAATATTTAGTACAAGTATTAAAACATCCTTAAAGTATCAAAAGTAAAACTTCTCATACTGCTGAATTATTTTGGAGTTCTGCCTTAAAGGTTTCTTGTTATCATAGAGTTTGAATGTAAGCATCATATTAATGTTGTAACGGTTCAGCTGGTTGGGGGCGGGCTCACACGCTTTGATTGACAGCTTAGGGACGGATGTGCCTCAGTGGTAGAGCGGCCTCACACGTCCAAGTGTCCTTTAGTGAGACAACGAGGGGACACTTCACTGCTCCTCATGCTGACGTCTCCTTTCATGTGATGATACAAATAATAAAGAAGTTTTTATACATAAGTACATGAAGCTTGGTGACCTGAGAGAAACTTCAACCTTTAGAAAGCTCATCACGCTGGATGTGAAATCAAAGTAGGTTCAGTTCAGGAAGTCCTTCCTACTTACACATACATGTACACACATATACATACCGTACATATATACATACGTTTGTGTACTGGTAGAGACGTCTATTTCTGTCCCCTTCGTTACCCACACACAGAATGAAACCACATCAGCTAAAATCTCATGTTGATGACTTTGAGTGAAGCCGGAGCTCCAGAGGCCACAAGAAGAAAGAGACGCTTCCTGCTGCTGCGCTGGTCGGGGAGTTCATTCAGCACCACGCCTCTCACATCTGTCTCATCGGTGTCCTCAGAGGACAGACAGACAGACAGACATCGTGTCCTTTGTGGAAAGACAGACAGAGAGACATTGTGTCCTTTAGGGACAGACAGAGAGACAGACAGTGTGTCCTCTGTGGGCAGACAGACAGAGAGACATACAGAGTGAGAGACAGAGAGAGAGACAGTATTAGTGTAGAAAGGTGTTGCACGTCGTGCAAACAGAGATGAGGTTTCGACTTGTTCAGAAATGACTCGTCACCACATCCTCTTCCTTCAGTTTGTGTAAAAACACAGCGAGCAGCTCAACATGAAGCTCAATGAGTTCAGTTTGAACATGAACAGCGTGATGTCTGCTGACGGGGTGAACAGCTTTCACTCCGACAAACTGGACGGTGACACACGGCTATTGAGCTACGTCCAATCAGAGGCCAGCTCCCTCAGGACGGCTTGCTATTGGTCAACAGAGTGAATCTAACTTCACACTAAATGTTGGCACAGATTTTCTTCTGTATTTTTCTTTATGTCAACAAAAGACTCAAAGCTCAAACAACATGTTGGTCCGTCTCTCAACACCGTCTCACTTCCTGTCTGTGTCTCATTGGTTCCTACTGAAGACGTATATTTTTAAAACCACAAACATAGTTTCATCAGTAATTCATGTAGTTTTTATCAAACAAACAGCAGGAAATGGTGTCTTTTTGGGGACTATTTTCAGCGGCGGATGAATCCACATTTGGAGCTCTAGTGAGTCTTTCAGTCAGATTAAACTAACTGTGTTCTAATGGAGCTCTATGAGACATCAGGATACTTGTTATTAGACACATGCACTGCTGCTTTGAGTCTGAACAGAAAGAGAAATATAAAATAAGTGTTTCTAGAGAGATGGTGTGACGCCGTGTGCCACCTGAGCGACAGGTAAACCACAGACAGCTGGAACAACTGACACAGAGGCTGCTGTGGGAATCACCTCCTCCTCCAGTTCACACCGTCTCTCTGGGACACAGACAGAGCAGCAGGTCATGTGACCTTCCATCAGACAACAAGCTGCTTGTTGACTCTACGAATGATTTCCAATGAGAGAAAGTACACAGAGTACAATACTTAAGTACACACTTTGCAGTTAAAACAACATAAGGTTGGTTGGCCTCATCAACGACAACAAGACCTGAGAGCTCGAGACCAAAGACTGCAAAACACACTTCCATCTGTACCAACAGGAGGTTTGGCTGTGTTGCCATCTTTAAGTTTCAATTTAACCAAAGATCCTCTTCTGCGGAACCAGCTTCCAGTTTCAGTCCGGGGGGGCAGACTCACCCACCACATTTAAGAGTTAGGAGTAGGCTTAAGACTTTCCTCTTTGATAACGCTCATACTTAGGGCTGGCTCAGGTTTATAGTTAGGGCTGGTTCAGGTTTATAGTTAGGGCTGGCTCAGGTT